TGGCAGGGGGGGTTGGAGATTGATCCTTGAGGTCCCTTCCAACCCTGGCTGTTCTGTGATTCTGTTTCTGAGAAATGAAAACTGCGATTTTTCAGAGCATGCTGTGAAAATCCTATTTTTGTAAGGCTTTTCAAAGAAGTGATTTAAACAATGCATTTGAGTTTGGGCTGTTATTTTTTAACATAGGGTTTTAACATTAAATAGAAAACTCAGATTTAAGAGAAAGCATTGTTTTTGTTATGTTGTCTCTGTTATTCTTTATTTGTATTTTTAATATCTGTATCAGCATCTGAAGCTTGGAGAAGATTAGAGTAAATCTGAATTTTTAAAGAAGTCTTTCCCAGATATATCTTGGATGTTGAGTCAAATTGATACTTCACTTCTCCTAAGGTAGTAGAATATAAGCCTATTTCCACTTGTGTTCCTTTTTTCTCTGGCACACCCTTTTCCCCCTGACTATCATCTTCTGTATTATAGAACTGCATATTTATTCCTGAAGTGAGTGTTCCCAATGCTAATTCAATGCATTCTGAGCTTTCTAAGAGTTTTTCTTGTCTTTACTTTGTGGGGAAGGGATGGCAAATACTTAAATATTCTTATTTAATGATTAGTCCTTTCTTGGATTGGAAGTGTTTTAATTTTCTTCAACACTTTCACTTATATATATTACTTCTTTAGTTTTGAACTACACTGAAAATACTCAAATCCATTGGTGTTAGTAAATATTGTTAGCCCCACTGCAGTTCCTACAGGGTCAATTCCTACCTAACCAACCAATGGTATAAATGCATCAATGGACAAGGGAAGAGCCACTAATGTCATCTATCTGGAATTCAGTAAGGTCTTTGACATAGTCCCCCATAATATCGTTCCTTCCAAATTGGAAAGATACAGATTTGATGGGTGGACTCTTTATTAGACAAGGAACTGGTTGTGAGATTGTACCCAGAGAGTGGTGGTCAGTGTCTCAGTGTCCAGATGGAGATTGGTGTCTAGTGGCATTTTGTGTTGGGACCAATGTTTCTTAATATCTTCATCAATTACAATGACAGTGGGATCAAATGTACCCTCAGCAAGTTTGTGGATGACACCAAGCTGTGTGGTGCAGTCAAAATGCCCAAGGGACAGGATGTCATCCAAAGGAACTTAGACCAGGGCCCCCAAGCCTATCTCATGAGGTTCAACAAAGCCACATGTAAGATTTTTCACCTAGGTTGTGGAAACCCCCCACTAACAATACAAGCTGAGAGATGAAAGGATTGAACACAGCCTTGCAGAAAAGCACCTGGGGGTTCTGGTGGATGGCAAATTGGACATGAGCCAGCAATATTCCCTCACAGCCCAGAAAGTCAACTGTATCCTTGGCTGCATCAAAAGAACAGTGACCAGCAGATAGAGGGAGCAGATTGAGATCTTTCCTCTCTACTCTGCACTGATGAGACCTCATCTGGAGTACTGTGTGCAGATGTGGAACCCTCAGTACAGGAGAGACATAGGCCTGGTGGAGTGCATCCAGAGGAGGGCCACAAAAGTGATCCAAGGGTGGGACATCTTCCCTGTGAGGACCGGCTGAGAGTTTGGGGTTGTTCAGTCTGGTAAAGAGAAGGCTCTGGGGAGACCTGACAGCATCCTTTCAGTATCTAAAGGGGTGCTATAACAAAGGAGACTGACTCTTTAGCAAGGTCTGTTGTAATAGGACAAGAGGAAGTGGTTTCAAGCTTAAAAAAAGCAAGAGTTAGACTGGATATAAGAAAGAAGAAAGGTAGTAAAGTCCTGTTACAGGTTGCCCAGCGAGGTGAAGTATGTACTGTAGTAGGAAATATTTTAAGATCAGGTTGGGTGGGCTTCAGCAGCCTGATCTAGCTGCGGATGTCCCTGTTCATTGCAGGGGAGTTGGACTAGATGACCTTCAAGTGTCCCTTCCAACTCAAATCTATTCCATGATTATACATATGTTTCTGTTCCTTTTTCTCCTTTTCAAGATGTTCTGCTGTAAGACCGGAGCAAATCCGAGTTGCTGAAAGATGGAACCTGAGTGTCTCATTTCTCAAAATATGTATGAAAGAAATACTTTCAAACATTAAATCTGAAAGTGCTCAGAAGTTGAAGGTTAAGCAGAAGAAAAATGCTCAGCTAGTTTGAGGCACTTTAGCGATGTGAAAAAAAGCTGTTCTGCATATTAGTTCTAGATGCTTAAGGCTGCTTTAGAACAAGGCTTTCTGGGTATGACGCAGCATATTAAACTGAAAGAAATGCTGGTATGTACCTTATGTAAATAGTTCACCAGTAGTATTACAAGATAATTGTCTTACAGAATTACACAAATAATAGAATGTTATCTGGAAAATACTTTATCAAAGAAACATGCTTTTACAATTTTCTTGTTTTTTCAACCATTCCACTTGAAACATTTGCACTATATTGACCTGCTGAGCCCTTCAGGAGGCTGTTAAAATCTGTTAACAATAGTTCTCTGCCCTACTGGTGCTAAAAGTTGATCCTCCTCAGGCATCAAGGCACTGAGAGAGCTAATTTGTCATTCTTGCCTTTCCTTTTCTCTTATATGTTGGGTAAGCATGCTGAAATGTCTTTCCTCTAGCTATTATTCCACTTACATAAAACTTGCATCGTTCTCATCTTTACAGTGGCTGGATCCTATTCAGAAGTACACTAGTTGATGTGACTAACATCTGTTTTGGGTGGTTCATTGTTGCTCTCAGCCTGTCCTCAAAAGCATGACTGTATATTTAATCATGTAGTATTCAGTATACCATTGTAGCGTGCAGGAGTATGTGTTTAACTATATGGTTTTGGTATTAATTTATACTAATGAAGGCCAAAAAAAAAAGTGTTTCCACTGAAATAGAAGATAATGAGTGTGGACTTTAGAGTTTGGAAGAGGTTATTCCCCAATCTCCCTACTGTCTCACTCCATTTCCTGGTTTGTTTCACCCAGCAAGAAGACAGTGACTATGGTGCACTTCACTAATACAGTTCAGGTGTTCCCAAACAATTGATTAAATGAATTCTGAGCAAGCTGTTGTACATATGATCTGTAATCACATGTATTCTAAGCAAACAGTGTATTAGCCTATGAGTAATCAGTATTTGGGAATGGAGTGGAGGGGGAGGTAGATTAGAGTAAATTACATTGGGTAAGGTTACATATTCTGGGGAACGTAAACTAGAGTAGGAAAGGTTATATGACCAGTGTCATCAACGCGTGCATCATTGTTGGTGAACCACAGCTCGTGGTTCTGTGGTTCTCAGGCCAGCTGAGAGGAGCTCCCAAAGCTGTCCTCCAGCATCCTGACTTTTACCTCTTTTGTGTGTGAATTGCCATGATAAGCAAGGTGGGGGCAAACAGTTACAAGGTATGCAAACTAAGATAAGCATGAGTGTGAAAAACACGTGACTGCAGATAAACAGAGAAACTTCTGTTGGTTCCTTAAGACCTCATTTTCAGTTCTCAAAAACATGATGGATTGTGTATATAATAATCATCACATGATTTTATGGTCTCCATGTTTCTGCCAGAGGCAGCACTTTCTCTTTTCATTGACAACTTCCAGTCATAGCTCAGGCTCTTGACATCTTGACATGAGTGCTAGGCCACAGGGTGTTAGGCAAAGGCAAGGCAAGTGCAGTGACTGAGGTATAATTACAGCCTTATCCAGCCTGCATGGCTAAGGACAGTTCTCATTATTTACTAGAAGATGGCTACCAGACCTGTACCTCATCCCATTCTCTGGTCTTGCATGACCTTTCCCTTCTTCTGCCAGCTATGCTTGGGCCATATTCCACACCAAACCAGGAAGACTTTTCCTTTCTGCAAGTTGATGTGAATGTCTGAAAGGTGGAATTACCAAGTGCAGTCCTGTCCCATTTTCTGTAATGGAAGTTCTAGTGTAGCTCAGTTGTAGAGTCATAGAATGTCGTGAGGTGAAAGGGACCTTAAAGTCAAACCATTTCCAACTCCACTGCGCTGGGCAGAGATGCATCTGCTACATTGGGCTATCCAGGGCCCCTTTCAAAACCTGGCCTTGATTGCCTCCAGAGATGGGGCATCCACAGCTTTTGTGCAACCTGTGCCTCTCAACCCTCTGAGTAAAGCATTTCCTCGTAACATCTAAACTAAATCTCCTCTCTTTTAGTTATAAGCTATTCCCCTTTGTTCCTCTCACTATCTGTGCATGTAAAAACATGTCCCTCCTGTTTATAAGCTCCCCTTAATTAGCAGAACAAATGAAGTATCAAACATTGTACTTTTGTGGTTATGATAGTATGCTGGAGTGGATATTTACTGGGCTCCTATTATTTTGCAGCTACTTCCTGCTGTCCCTAACTAAACTTTGGATAGTTTGTTTAAAAAAAAAAAAAATCCTAATAGTCTTCTGCTATAATTATTAGTGTTCGGTCATAGGTTTTTAAGCCTCCTAAGTCCTTTCACACTTCGCAAAACAGGAAAATTTTCTAGTTAACAAAAAGTATCAGCTCCCAAAATTTGTATAGAAAAGTGTTTCCATATATCATTTCTTGACGACTCTGTTGTCCTGATGTTGAATGAACGTAGTCTCAAGCAAATAAAAAATCATTCTGTAGAATATCTCCTTTGTTATTCTGTTATTATATTGTATGGTCAGTATATTTGTCCTGCCATTTGTTCATTTCTCCTCTAGGTATTTATGCAACTATTTATGTAACAAATTGCTGGAAAATGATTGTTTTCATTATCATTCATCAGCAAGCTAAATAGATCCTGCTGAAGCACTGTGGCTTGGACAATACACTACAGTTTGTCAATGAATAAACTTCTTAGATGAGTAATTGGTTTCTTTATGCTTGCACCATGTAAGTTGTTCTTCACAATTCTTATCAGGAAGCTGCATGTTCTACGTAATGCCAGACAAATAGAGCATGTATATGCTGATGCAGTTACTCTTACAGTTAACATTCTTTGATTTAACACTCTTCTAAAGTTTGGTGTTTTGTTTTTCCCTTAGGGATATGATGATGGATATGGGGGTGAATATGATGATCCAAGCTATGAGACATATGATAACAGTTATGCCACCCAAACACAAAGGTAAGCATTTGTACTTTCTTCATTAATTTTTCAAATAAGGACGTGTCTTTTCTCTTAGGTTTTTATGAAAATGTCCTGGTTTATTTTTCCACATTAAATTCTTCAATAGCTCACTGTACTTTGAGTAACTATCAAATAGTTACAATACTGTTCAGAGTTAATGAACAGAATAATTCAGACAAAGTAGAAATACAGACAGCTCGACTTTTTTAAATGTTGCAACTTAAGAGCTTTTTGTATTTGTTTTTTTTAAAACACTGTTTTACTACCTGATGTCATTCTGTTTTTGTTGGTGCACTTTATTTTTAGTAGTGCAAATTTGTCAAAGGCATCTCATATTTAATGTTTTTACAAAATTTTCAGCAAAGCAAGAAAGAAATTGTTTAAAAAAGTATGTCAGGGTAAACTATGGAATGGAATCATGTTCCTGAAGTAATGCTAAAGCTATCTGCTTCCAGCCATTAACTTTCTCCGCAGTTTTCAGAACTATAAAGGCAGCAAGGTTTAGAAATCCTATTTTATGTTCTTACCCTGTGAGATACTGGAAGAATCATGTTCACAACACTTACGATTTATATCACTAAAAGGAGGCAATAAATGTGATCACTTTTTATGTGCACATACACCACACACACAGTTGGCCTGTGTTTATGAAATATGAATGACATTCTTTCCACACTTAGGGTGAGGGATAAAATAGTGTTTCAATCAGTTATTCAGAAAATGCACTTACTGGTCACTAAGAATGCATGTTAGATTGTGGAAAGGCAAATGAAGTTCCTAAAGAAAAAATATGTATTTTGAGTTCATTTGCAACTCACTGGATGAGAAAGTGATTATTATATACAGAGTTCTACACTTTTTCTTTTGGCCATGTTTTTTATTGAACATTTTGCTGATGAAAATACCCATAAGAATTAAGTTCCACTCTAAAACTGCTGTAGTGAATGGCATTTGAGATGACAGAAAAAACTTTGTAAGTATTTTTACAACCAGTGAAGAATATTTAAAAGGACTTGTCACACCTGAATGTGAACACCTTCAATGATACTTTGACAACATACTTTTAAGTAATCATGCATTACTAGCTGCACCTGTCATGTCGTTGAGTAGGTAGATATTCTTGTTGTCAGATGTGCTTGAATTTTTTCAAAAGAATTCAGCCTATCTTTTGCTACGATAGTGTATTGTCACAGGAAATATTGCTTCTGTTTTAAAAAGCAGTAATTAGTTGGAATTCTCTCTGAGGTTATATTGCTTTTTTATCATCTGTATTAAGCTGTAATTTCTTTGGAAGGTGGTGTTCCTTGCAGAAAAATAACAAATGCATCATTGTTTATTAGCAGTTTATTACAAGATAGAACTTACTGTGATAATTTGATTCAAAACAGAAAATTTAGAGTCAAATAATTTGGCTAATTAAACAGCCATTATGTTCAATAGTCAGATATGTTCACTACTAATGTGAGCTACAACCAAGATATCTACCACAAAAGGTCAAATAAAAAATTTCTTTTTGTAACATATGGCAGGATACAAAGTCATAGTCATCCATGTTGAGTGTCATAAAGTCCTTATGAAGTCTTTTGATTTCAATAAGTGCATTTGGGGATTAACACACTACTCAGATTTCAAAGATGTAAAGAACAAATGGACAATGGACCACTGGATACACAGTTTAGATTTCTGTACCTTATTGGCCACTCATCAAACCTCACAGAAATACCTCCATAATGAGCTGAAATAGTGCAATATAACTGTATTCATGAATAATGTGACAAAAATATTTATTTTGCTTTAAATACCAAAAGCATTTTCCTCCAATCTTATATCATGTTTTTAATAAATCTGATTGTAGGAGCAACATAAATCATGCATACACCTAACAAGAAAGATAATTTGTACCACTTCAGAGTACTTATCTCATCCACTATGTGATTTACTGAGGGGGGAAAAAAGTAAATCTTGTGGAAAATCTGCTCAGAGGAAAAAAAAAAATCATTACTGCCCTCTGCAGGGATTGACTGAGATTCTGTAGCATGAGATGAAAAATAATTGGAGTCAGTGGATTAATGTAGGACTCCATGATTCATGCTCCTGTTAAAAAACAAGTGGAAACTCTGTCCTTATGGCTCATTAAGGAATCAATATGGAAATACTTAGAGTTGGTCCAAACTTTGCTCTGACTATCAGCCTCACCAAGCACATTGACCAAACCTCGCTCTCCGTGGCACTTCAAACTAAAGAATGTATCACTGGGAAGAAATGAATGCAGGCTGAATTCAGGGTGATTTAAAGCAGAGTGAATGGTAACTTGTTCCTCCATGCTCTCAATGCACTGAGTGAAAATACAGTTTGGATAGCCTGCAACTGCCATGACCATAACCCATGCCTTATGTCTAGTTCATATTTTCTCACCAGATGCTATCTGCCCACACATATACTGCTTCTGAGGGCCCTCAGTCCTTCATTGCCCAAGAGGCATGATTTAGTTTTTTAAAAACTAGGTTTTGCGAGCAGCAGAGAAAGCAATCATATCGGCATACACCACTGTGCTATTAGAATCATGTAACAGGAGCACCCAGAGGAGCACCCAGACCACCTATATGCAAGTCAGCATAAACACTGTTCTTTTGTATAGTTACCTGATGATCTTTACTGAATGTCAGAGATAAAGTTGTAGGCCCAGCAATAAATTTTGTATAGGTTCTTCTCTAATGAACTCTACCACTGCCACTCTTCCAGACAGAGTTCTGTCCTCCGTAACAGTACTCTGATTTTTAGACTGATAATAGGGCTTTTAGGTCATTGTGAAAGAGACCATGGTAGAATCTTGATATCAGACTGGAGTGAAACCTACAATAAGTCTTTTAGGCTGAGTGAGCTAAAACATATCTCAAGAGACCCTTGAAATGGACACAAAAGCAACTTGAAGAAAAAAGCAGGATCATGGCTATGGTAAGTGTCACCTGTCCCTTGTTATGTCTGAGGAGAAAAGAAATACAGATCATATGAAACACAGGTACTTCTATGGCATACATTGCATGAGGAATGTCTTGTTTTAACTAACAGACACTATATTTCTAAAGCCACCTTTTTTTTCCTCCTCATCTTCCTATCCCATAATGGCTTCCCAAATGTGTCTGTAGTTATTATTTAAAATTCCATAAAAGACTACAGTTTTAGCAAGAACATTCAGAAGCCTTGCTATTTTAAGAACTATATTTATATTGATGTGAAGATACAGACTTAAAGGTAATTGGAATTAAAGTATTATCCGACACCAAAATGAACATGGAAACAACCACTTCAGTGGGTGGGAGAGAACATCAGATTTTGTATACTTTCCATAGGCAACATTTTACAGCAGTTTGAGTTAGTTAGCATTAGAACATCTTTCCCTTCTTTTCCGTTCAGTTTGAGATGTATTTCAGTGATAAGACCTGCCCATATATACCAAGCTTCTGAACTTCTAGTATAACTACTTTAGTTATAAATGTGAATCTTAGTCATGCTAATCAGATGTGAAATTTCTTTTTGAGTATAATGACCATCCCTGTTTTGCCTGTTCACCTGTGTCAGTAGTGAGGAGCAGATGATAGGTAAGGGAAAGAATTAGCCTGCTGTTCTCAAACAACAGTGTCTCAGCATCTGGGGTAATATCCAACTGAATATCCAACCCTTCCCCTTGCTTGATACTTGGGAACTTGTAAAAAGTACATTCTGTCTGCTCAATAGAGTTCTGGTATGTACTCTTAATGAACAGGTTTTAGCTAGACTCAATTCTCACCAGTGGGATGGCTTGGCTTTGACCATCACTTATCTTAGCAATGAATACTGGGCAAATGATGTTCTTCTGCAGGCTTCTAAAGATATGCTGCTTCCTCACGTTTTCATGCTTACTAGCAGCACAGCACACTGATATCCTCAATGATTTCTTCAAACCATGTTGGAACATATAATGACAACAGTCCTTTTCCATTCTCACAGAGAGATTGATTTAAAGATAGAAATACAGTCTTTATAGGGCTAAAGAGAAAGTCATAAAACAAAACTTAAAATGGTAAATCCAAAATGGGAGAAGTACTACTTTCCAAGTCAACTGTAGCACAGAAGATAGTAGATGAAGAGTATCCTGTCAGTTTTCAAAATACAGTACATTTTTTATTTTCTAAACAGGAACTTACAAGTCTGTTGAGCCAACACACTATCCATGATCCACAGGTTGAGAACACCAGGAAAAAAGGATCAAATGTTTTGTGAGAAGATCTCCAAGATCTACCTTTTTGGTTAATGTCTGATAGGGGATCAGACTGTTCTTTGTGCAAAATGTGGCCAAACTCCACAGCCAAGACAGAATGATTTTGCAGTAGTGAATCAGTTGCTCGTGAGTGAGAGCCATCTTCTGATAACACATCTCCAGTGACCTTTATGTCTCTATTAGCACCGTCAGTACCATGTCTCGCAGCTAAAAGAGGTAGAGGGGAAGTCTAAAACTGACTGGCCAGTCAGAAGATGGACCAAAAATACTTTATTTAACCCACATGTGCCTAATCTGTCCAACTATATGAAGTGTAAACAGTGGTGCCTGTAAGGGAAAAGAAAGAGCAATTAACAGTTGTCCTCTGAAGCTTAAAATTTGGATTTTATATGATTTCCCTTTTCTATATAGTCTGGCTTGAGCACTTAGACATCAGTTAGTTATTTTTTTTTAGTGACTGAGTAGCTTGGATATTGGCTAAGGCTTCCTGGTCTGGTTGGTTGGCTTGCTTTTCTGACATGTTCTGTCTGGTTTTTGTTTAAAGTTATAGTTCAGGTGTAAAATTAGTTGCTGTGTGAGTCCTTTATAAAGAAAGAAGTGTCTGTGACTTCCATCCTAACCTTTAAATAGACTTGCAAAAAAAATCAGGAAACCTGTAACATACAAGTAGAGTAAGTAATTCAGTGTTGAAAGACAGATGGAAACAGTGCAAACCATTGCTGACTTACAAACCAACCCC